TCTCCATTGCTTAACTATTAAGTCATTAAAACATAACCTAACTGTGGAGATTGTCCTCCCCCTACTCCTCTCTTGTGCTACAATATTTAAAAATAAGGGTGCATGTGAAGATATGTCACCAGTCTCTTCCAGGTATTTGGGAGTTGGCAGAGGCTGGTGGTGCATCTGCATGTGCACAGTGGGTTCCCTCGCTTTTGCACAAGTGCCATTAGCTTCTGCTAGATGGGTACTAAAGCAGTGCGCCACATTTGTATGCATGCATGAAAAAAAGGAGCATTACGGAGGGGGGGGGTTGGGGTGTCAAAATTGTAAAAACATTTTTCTGAGTTAAAGTGATTGTAAGGCTTCATTTTTCTTTATTTAAAGAACAAACATGCTATACTTACCTGCTCTATGCAATGGTATTACACAGAGCAGCCCAAATCCTAATTTTTTTGGGCTCTTGGCTCCTCCTCTTCTCGGTGCACCTCCATAGCATGTTTCCTATGGGGGTTTACCTGCAGGCTCACTGCTGAGCTGGGCTGTGTGCATCTATAGACACAATCAATAAGTCAAATATAAAAATAGATAATAAAAGTATGTAATTATAACCAGCTGCAAGTGCACCAACTTTGGAACCCTAAACCTAGTGAAAATCAATCAATAAAATAGTGCAGCGTTTGAAATGCAAAATCAATTAATTAATAACTCCAATATATAATGCATAATAAAAAAAATAAAATAATTATGCGTAATATAGTAATAAAATTATGACTCCAGGTAAAATTGGCTCTTCATCAAGTGCAAAGTGGAATGTGATAATAAAATAGTCTTACACTATAAAGAAGTGTTCAGAAATAGTGCAGGCTTGACGTGTTCCAGCCTGGAACAAGGATCCCTCCTCTGGACACCAGCCACATGTGCTTCACATATGAAGATTTTGCATTACTGTATCTGGATTATTTTGATATTTTCTGCTTTCTGATACATTTTAAATTTTGGATGATCATCTATCACTAATAAATGAAACATTTTAAATACTACACTATGAGGCAATTCTTATCATTTGGCTCTGATCTGAGCTAAGATCATAGAGACCCCCAGAGGAAGCATGACTGCAGAGAAGGCTGGTGTCCAGAGGAGGGATCTTTGTTCCAGGCTGGCTGACAGATCCACCTAAAGGGGCTCCCTACAGAGTCATATCTGCTTAATGTACATAATTTATGTGCGTCTGGTGAGTGAGCATTTTATACGTTGCTGCATGGATTAAAATCACACAGATTTCTTAATGAGAGTCACTTATGAATCTTTAAGAGTGAAGCACGAATTCGCTGACCTGACCACATCAAGCCTGCACTATTTCTGAACACATCTTTATAGTATAAGACTATTTTTTTATCACATTCCACTTTCGCTTGATGAATTGCGATTTTCACCTGGAGTCATAATTTTATTACTATATTACGCATCATTATTTTATTTCTTTATTATGCATTATATATTGGAGTTATTAATTAATTAATTTTTCATTTCAAGCGCTGCACTATTTTGTTGATTGAGTTTTACTAGGTTTAGGGTTCCTACGTTGGTGCACTTGCAGCTGGTTATAATTACATACTTTTATTATCTATTTTTATATTTGACTTTGTTTTGAGAGCTCGCTATACCTTTGTATATTTCATCTATAGACACACACAGTAGGGCTTGACCACACCCCCTGCTCTCTCCTCACCGGATTTGATTGACAGCAGCAGAAGCCAGTGGCTCCCCACTGCTCCCAGTGAGTCCTGTGAGGAGTGGAAGAAAACTTTGCTGCTGCACTCAGGCACAGCACTGGATTGAGATAGGACTTAGGTAAGTATTTAGGGGCATAGGGGGGGCAATATAACAACATGACATATTTGTACGTTAATACAGGGAATACATTAAGGTAAAAAATGTCCTGCCTTTAGAATCACTTTAAGTTCGGCTTTAAGACTCAAAAAGCCCTGAGAGTGAAATAGAAGTTTGGCAATTTTTAAGCCTTCTTCAATCTTCTTCTAGGTGAGCCCTAGGCCAGTTGCATATGACCATTCAAGACCAATAAAGTAGATAGTATACAAACCGGAACAATTCCCTTTAACTTGTTATGATTCTCTGAAACAAAGCCAGCAGGTAATATTCTAGAAAATGTAAATATATACATATTTAATTTGCTATTGTGCTATTATTGCTGCTGATAGAGTGCCTTCCGCATAGTATGCAATGTGATAAATAAGTCCAGCCAAAATGTAGTTTTAATGCAGGTGGGCAAACTTTAACAGTTGAAAGCAGATATAAAAGGCAAACTTTGATGTAGTTAAAGAGTGGGGTGGGAAGAAGCTGCACTAGAATCCAATCAGTTCTTATAATGACAAAGAGTATGATGATGGGAGAAGAAATCAGAATGACAAATTTGGGCTCAATGACAGCCTGGGCTCAGAGAAAGTGGGTTGAATGGTGCTGGTCATCGTTGAACCCAGAAAACATAGGACATTTAGTGGTGGAAATGAAGCTTTGTGAGGACAGCTTCATATTAAAGATATGTAATTCAGCAATGGCTGCGTTTGATTTTATTTTTTATTAGGCTATTCATATGTCTTTACTGGTTTCTGCTATAAAGACAGCTTATGTTGGAAGTAAACTATGAAAGCTAGGCTCAGGGAGTCAAATGCAGGAGCAGAGTGATGCCTGCTTATACATCTTTCACCGATTACTGGTCAGGGAAATACCATATTTGGAAAATAATTGTTTCAAATGCAGACTTGGTATGATCCATGGCAATTACATAATGATGATAAGGTGCTTTAGACCAAGGGTCTGCAAACTGTGGCCCGCAGGCCGGATCTGGCCCTTTGCCTGCTTTTATCTGGCCATTGGGGCACTTATCCTTCCACTGATATGCGACAATATTTCTTATGCTGACACCAAAGATGGAGATCTATTCCTCCCACTGATATCACCAATGGGGTATTATTCCTCCCACTGACACCACCAATGGGGTACTATTCCTCCCGCTGACAACAGAGATGGGAAAAAATTTCTCCAATTGACACCAATAATTTGTTTACTCTCACTGACCACCAAGACTATGGCATTCTTTACTTCCACTGATGCCGGGGCATGTTCTACTCCCACTGGCAACAGTCTGCCCCCTCCCTAAAGTTTGAAAGGCAGTAATTTGACCCTTTGTTTCGAAGGTTTGAAGACCCCTGCTTTAGACCATACACAGAACCATTTTAATATATCAAGGTCTCCAAACTTTCTAAACAAAGGGCCAGATTACTGATACTTCAGACTTTGGGGGGCCAATAGGAGTAAAAAATTTCTAAGCGTCAGTGGAATTAAATAATGCCTCAGGCTTAGTTATCATTGGAACTAAGAAAATTACATAGCACCTTTGGTAAGTAGTAGTGGGAACAGTGTCCCATCATTGGTATCAGTGGGATGAATAGTGCCAATTGTTGTTATTAGTGAAAGTAATAATGCTCTCTTGTTGGTGTTAGTGGAAGGAATAGTGCCTCATCGATGGTGTCAGAGGAAGGAATAGTGCCTCATTGATGGTGTCCAGTGGAAGTAATAGTGCCCTATTGCTGGTGTCAGTGGAAGTAATAGTGCCCTATTGCTGGTGTCAGTGGAAGCAATAGTGCCTCATCATTGGTGTTAGTGGAAGGAATAGTGCCACATCCTTGGTGTCAGTGGGAGGAATAGTGCCACATCCATGGTGTCAGTGGGAGGAATAGCACCCTATAGTTGCTGTCAATGGGAAGAATAGTGCCACATCATTGGTGTCAGTAGGAGGAATAGTGCCTCGCATCAGTGTGAGGAAAATTGTCCCAAGGACTGGATAAAGATAAGCAAAGGACCACATCTGGCCTGCAGGGTTTGAAGACCATTGTATTAGAAGAAAGTCTGCTGGCATCCGTAAAAATGTAAAAAATGTGCCTATTTACAGTATAGTTTCCATTAAAATGTTATTTTAATGCCATGGCTCTTCTGTGTAATAAAATCCCTTTCCTTTCTCTTTTCTTCTCTTCTCTTTTCTTCTCTTCTCCAGCCACATATCGCACTCTTTCAACCTATTTGTTATATATTATATTACAGCATTTGTTTATCTTATGAGTAAAAAAGTAATTGTACAAAGACCATCTAAGTTTAGAAAGTGCAGTTTTTTTAGGAACTGTAGTAAACAAAATATGGATGAGAATCATTTTATAGTATGACCTTCAAGCCAGATGTTATTTTGTTAACTACTGCCAGCTGCTGTGTGGACATCTCTGCAGTCCAGAAAGCTGCCATTTGTGTCTCAGAATCAGCTCATGCTAACTACATGGCCCCTGCAGGAGCACACCATTGTGTCCATGTAAAACCTAGACTGGCAGCTCTGAAATTTGTTAAATGGAAAGTGAACCCCAATCTTGGCCTAAGATATACATTTGTAGTCTTCTGTACCCCAGTCGACCCTGTTTTATTAATGCAGTGAAGTCCCTCTTTGTTGTTAGCAGAGGGCTCTTTTAATGCCATCTCTCACAATCCCCTGTCCTCCTGGGCATACCCAGGGAATATAAGCTTGCTTGTTTCCCTTCATCCTGAGAGACCGCATTTGATGAGACAGAGGTGGCTGGGCACGAGATCTGTTGCCAGGCATCTGATTCTCCTCCATTTAATCTGGCATGCACAAAACCAGTTTGAGGGACAATATCACACAGCGTAAGGAGAAGACCAAGTTAGTGCAGAGGGCACTGCTGTATCTGACTCTAGACTGCTGAGCTGTCCACACAAGAGACTCTTCATGCCACCTTTCTGCACTTTCCTGTGGAACAGGTCCAGGGGACCCTCCAGCCAGCCACCTGAGCTATCAGAGACAGTATACCTCCATATAAGAGAGATGTCACCCTAAGGGAAATGCAAGTAGGCTTGTACTGTGCCACCACCTAGTGTGCCTAATGGGAGAATGCTCCTAGGCAGCTTCTGTTTTTGTAATAGTTGCATTGCCTGTTATTATGTTTTCTGTGCTCATTGCATACCCTTGTTATCATTCTGTTTGCATTGTCAGTTTATCCTGCATTTATTTAGTAAACCCCAAGTTGTACCTTAGAGTTTATCTAATCTAGGTCCAGGGGTGGACTGAAAACTCATGGGGACCCCGGGCAATAGGGGATCATGGGACCCCTGTGTCCTTGCCCACACTCAAAGCATACCCAAAAAAGCCTATAATAAGGTACCAGGGGCATTTCATGGGGCCCCCCACTGACCCCGGGCCCTCGGGCAGAATGGTCAGTCCACCCCTGTCTAGGTCCATTCTGTTTAACAGCTACACCAAACATCAGACATATCAGACTGGTGTCTTTTAGACTGTCATCGCAGGTTACTTTTCAATTGACGTTTAGTCCTTTCCAGACAAAATGTTTTACCTAATTTTGTATAGTGCACAGAAAGGATAGAACCCCCTTTTATTGCTATCTGTGTCCCAATGTGGAAATCACCCCTCATATTTATCACAGCAACCGATGTCATCAGGTCAGACAGGGGAAATTCACAAATGTCCACTTGACACAGGAGTAGAAGGGTTATCAGGGAATAACCTGTTTTAGTAACACAAAAGTGTATTTCCTCTTAATTTGGGGAGATTTAGACACATTTTGCACACCATCAAAACTGAGTAGTGATGGAAAATCTTGCTAATGGGGATGGCGCTATATAAGTACCTGTAATAAATAATACAGAAAGCAATAAAACCAAAGAGAGGTTTTAAGGCTGGCCATAGATGGATTATTTTTTTCTTTTACTTTGCGTGAGGTGTATGAAGAAATCCTCCCCGCTGAAACATTATATTCTGACAGTGAGGATAATTCACTATCAAAATACCAAAATCAGCGATTGCAGCCCATTGGCCGCAGCAGCTGAATGAAAATTTTTTTTAAACAAGCCTGTTCAACAGAAGTCACTTGTTAGATCGACTTCTCTCAAGTGAGAGCGACCACATATGGATCAAACTTCGGCCAGTCCCTGCTGAATTAGATCGATATTGATCCATCTATGGCCAGATTAAGCCTTCCCCGTTGTATCCAAAAGTAAAAAAAGAAGTTTTGACTTTAAATAATTTAAACTGAATATATTTCTTAGAAGATTAGGTTTGTAGCATTTTTTTCAAAGGTAACACTGTGATGTGAAAAATCTAGTATGTAATATTGTTCCTCATATCTGTCTCAACTGATGTCACCAACCTCCAGTCCTGAAGTCATCCTTATCTATCAGAAAACAGTCCCTAAAAAAGCAAAGGGGGAAAATAACAAAGGCAGCTCGAAGTTCCAGTTGTTCTGTGAATTAGGGCTTCACCTACTAATATGTATCAATAGCTGCCAGCTAGGCATGATACAATTGGGAGTTTCCATTTTTCATTGAACATTTGGAGAAATAAAGTGCATTTCCACATTTGCAACCGAATTGGGATAACAGCTACTTTATACTTGTTGCATGCTTCCATTCACATAGCATAACTTTAGAAGACTGACTTCATTCTGTCTTTCTATACAGTATTTATAATGCGAGTTGCATTTGCCATAATCACCCTGTCTCTCTGCACTGTTAAATCTCATTTTAGTTTTGAACTAGATTTGTACACATTGGGGATGATTTATTAAAACTATAGAGTGCAAAATCTGGTACAGCTTTGCATAGAAACCAATCAGCTTTCAGAGTTTTTTTTGTCAAAGCTTAATTGACGAAGCTGAAGCTAGACACCGATTGGCTACAATGCACAGCTGCACTCTCCAGTTTTAGTAAGTCAACCCCCAGTCTGTCCTTACAAAGATTTAAAGGTTATCATGGCTTGGGTGGTATATTGAATAGTGTTACTAAACCCACAACAGTAAAATCAGTCTGTATATGCAGTAAAGCATGCTTCTTATACTTACTGTGGAAACTAAGGGGTTAATCCTCTGCATTGTGTAAAAACGCTGTTTAATCCTGACTTCTCGGATCCTCCCCTTCTTCCAGTGTCCCCTCTCTTATTTCCTGATAAGACATATGGTATGGAGTCAATCTGCACATGCTCAGTTTGATGTTTATTGCTAGAGAGCTATTTATTTTTCTTGGGAGAGTACATGTGATCAGCTCAGGGCCAATCAGCACTGTCCAGACAGAGGTCAGGGGTTCTGCATCCTCCTAAAGCAGAATGAAAACTACTCCTACAAGCTTTAACATGTGCTGGGCTGGACACTGATAGAAGTCACAAAACTGCTCTAACTGCTGATGAGAAAAGGTATTTATAGCAGTTTATATTTACTAAAATAATTGCACTTCCATGTTCTGTGTACTATGGGAGACCAGATATAGTGAATACTGGGTGCTGGGTTTAGTAACACTTCAACTCCCCTGGCAGTATTCTCAAGTGTAGCTCGGGGTTAGGTTTCAGTACCAGGAGCAGTAACCCCAAGCTACACTCGGGATTACACTGTAGCATTGCTCTGGGAACCCTGGATCACTTATCTTGTCCCGCGGTCCCACGCTGTCCTCCTGCTGCATCCCCGGCCATCTCCTCTGGCTAATGCCGGCATCCGTTTTCCGGATTCTGTTCCCTGCGATCGTCGGGACTAGAGATGAGCGAAATCGAACCTGGCGAAGTGGAATTCGTTTCGAATATCAGGAAAAATTCGATTCGCATAGAATCCGAATTTTAGCACACTTCGGGTGCACGAATCGAATTTTTTCCGATCAGCCGGCAAAAGTGTCACTGCAGAGAGCTCCGCTATTTCTGACAGTTCTGACAGTTCATTTACAGCGGTTGAAACATTGCATCTATTTGTTTCCATTTAGGATACAGATGTTTTTATTCGGAAATAAATAGATACAATGTTTCAACCGCTGTAAATGTGAAGGAACTGTCAGAGAACTGTCAGAAATAGCGGAGCTCTCTGCAGATACACTTTTTGCTGTACTGGAATACTTCTTCTTTTCATTCTTCTTCTTCTTTTCATTCTTCTTCTTCTTCTTCTTTTCATTCTTCTTTTCATTCTTCTTCTTCTTTTTTCATTCTTCTTCTTCTTCTTCTTACTTTTCATTCTTCTTTTCATTCTTCTTCTTCTTCTTTTCATTCTTCTTTTCATTCTTCTTCTTTTCATTCTTCTTCTTCTTCTTTTCATTCTTCTTTTTCATTCTTCTTCTTCTTCTTTTCATTCTTCTTTTCATTCTTCTTCTTCTTCTTTTCATTCTTCTTCTCATTCTTTCTTCATTCTTTTTTTTCTTCTTCTTTTTCATTCTTCTTCTCATTCTTCTTCTTTTCTTTTCATTCTTCTTCTTCTTCTTTTCATTCTTCTTCTTCTTCTTCTCTTCATTCTTCTTCTTTTCATTCTTTTCTTCTTCTTCTTCTTCTTCTTTTCATTCTTCTTCTTCTTCTTCTTTTCATTCTTCTTTTCATTCTTCTTCTTCTTCTTTTCATTCTTCTTCTTCTTCTTTTCATTCTTCTTTTCATTCTTCTTCTTCTTTTCATTCTTCTTTTCATTCTTCTTCTTCTTCTTTTCATTCTTCTTCTTCTTCTTCTTCTTCTTTTCATTCTTCTTTTCATTCTTCTTCTTCTTCTTTTCATTCTTCTTCTTCTTCTTTTCATTCTTCTTTTCATTCTTCTTCTTCTTCTTTTCATTCTTTTCATTCTTTTCTTCTTCTTTTCATTCTTCTTCTTCTTCTTTTCATTCTTCTTTTCATTCTTCTTCTTCTTCTTTTCATTCTTCTTCTTTTTCTTCTTTTCATTCTTCTTCTTCTTCTTTTCATTCTTCTTTTCATTCTTCTTCTTCTTTTCATTCTGCTTCTTCTTCTTTTCATTCTTCTTTTCATTCTTCTCATTCTTCTTTTCATTCTTCTTTTCATTCTTCTTCTCATTCTTCTTTTCATTCTTCTCATTCTTCTTTTCATTCTTCTCATTCTTCTTTTCATTCTTCTTCTTCTTTTCATTCTTCTTCTTCTTCTTTTCATTCTTCTTCTTCTTCTTTTCATTCTTCTTTTCATTCTTCTTCTTCTTTTCATTCTTCTTCTTCTTCTTTTCATTCTTCTTTTCATTCTTCTTCTTCTTCTTCTTTTCATTCTTCTTCCTCTTCTTTTCATTCTTCTTTTCATTCTTCTCATTCTTCTTTTCATTCTACTTTTCATTCTTCTTCTCATTCTTCTTTTCATTCTTCTTCTTTTCATTCTTCTTTTCATTCTTCTCATTCTTCTTTTCATTCTTCTTTTCATTCTTCTTCTCATTCTTCTTTTCATTCTTCTTCTTCTTCTTTTCATTCTTCTTTTCATTCTTCTTTTCATTCTTCTTCTTCTTCTTTTCATTCTTCTTCTTTTCATTTTTCTTTTCATTCTTCTTCTTCTTCTTTTCATTCTTCTTCTTCTTCTTCTTTTCATTCTTCTCATTCTTCTTTTCATTCTTCTTTTCATTCTTCTTTTCATTCTTCTTCTTCTTCTTTTCATTCTTCTTTTCATTCTTCTCATTCTTCTTTTCATTCTTCTTTTCATTCTTCTTCTCATTCTTCTTTTCATTCTTCTTCTTCTTCTTTTCATTCTTCTTCTTTTCATTCTTCTTCTTCTTTTCATTCTTCTTCTTCTTCTTTTCATTCTTCTTCTTTTCATTCTTCTTTTCATTCTTCTTCTTCTTCTTTTCATTCTTCTTTTCATTCTTCTCATTCTTCTTTTCATTCTTCTTCTCATTCTTCTTTTCATTCTTCTTCTTCTTATTTCTCATTCTTCTTTTCATTCTTCTTCTTCTTCTTTTCATTCTTCTTCTTTTCATTCTTCTTCTTTTCATTCTTCTTTTCATTCTTATTCTTCTTCTTTTCATTCTTCTTCTTCTTCTTTTCATTCTTCTTTTCATTCTTCTTCTTCTTCTTCTGCTTCTTCTTCTTCATCTTCTTCATCGTGCCCCGTGACTGCCCAAATGAGTGAAGTGTGTGGTGATTCTAAGATCGACGGCACTCATCTGCATGTCATACTGACTGACAGTATTTATTTCTCTTCCCCAGCAGACTCCAAGGGCATTTAAATTAAAGGTACAGTGTTCTGCACTAATATAAAGCTCTCTGAAGCCTAGAAACCCTTTTTAATAAGTTAAATTCGCGGCGAATAAATTCGCATCGAATCGAATTTCTCCCGCAAATTCGGCGAATCAGCCGAATCGAATTTTTGAATAATTCGCTCATCTCTAGTCGGGACGTACGGGGATGGAACCGGCGGGAGATT